ATTTTTAATTAATAATGACATTATTATATCATATTTCATATTTGACATATTGTTTTCTTATATGTATTATATCATATTAAACATTTCTGATATTGTTATGTTTTCAGAGATATTGTTTAAATGTTTTAATATTAATACATGATGCAAATGCCACATGCCTCTTTGAATGAAAATGTTTTAAAAAAAAATATTATAAACAGCATATGTCTGGTTGCTCTGTTCAAGTGTTCCATTGTAAAGATTTACGTCATTTCAGTATCAAAGCAGCTCTTTGTTGCTGGAAAAGGCATTGTTTCTCAGATGCTGAGATGCAGTGTCTGTTATAATGCTTGATATGCAATTCATGCTCTTGCGGTGGAGGCATTGCGAGATGTGTGTAATTGATCAGGATGAAACTTGGAGTAAGTGAGAAGGAATTCAGCAGCCCTGCTCAGTCCAGGTGCTTATTCCTGATGGCTGAGAGCCAGAGCATTCCTCAGTTCAGGAACCGGTGTAGTATTCAGCATTTGAGCTGCCGTGTGTTGTGACATCTGCTACTACGCCACATGAATGCGGGTTTAGTTGACCGTGCAGGACAAACGTGAATAGCCTTGTCATGAGCAGATTTTTTTCCCTAGAATGGTTCATAGTAGTACACCTAAAAAGGCAGATTCTGTCATTATTTACAAACTCTCATGTTGGTTCAAACCTGTTCTTCCATTGAACGCTAACAACAATATTTTTCAGAAGTGTTTTCATAACTGAAACTAGCAGTTTTAAGCTCCAGAAACGGCGAAAAACACTATAAAAGTCATCCACATGACATATGCACTTCTAATTCTAAGTATTATCAAAGTCATTGTATATATTTTGTAAGCAGTGTGTGCCTCTGTTTTGTTTGTGCACAAATGCTTGTGAAAGTGAAACTAGAGAAACCAATGACATTGTATAAACAACAGGATATTAAAGGAATAGTTCACACAAAAATGAAAATATGCTGAAAATGTATACCCTCGGGCCATCCAAGAGATGAGTTTGTTTTTTCATCAGAACAGATTTGGAGAAATGTAGCATTGCATCACTTGCTCACCAATGGATGCTCTGCAGTGAATGGGTGCCGTCAGAATGAGAGTCCAAACAGCTGATAAAAACATCACAATAATCCACAAGTAATCCACACCACTCCAGTCCACCAGTTAGCATCTTGTGAAGCCAAAAGCTGTGTGTTAGCAATAAACTAATTCATAATTTCTAACTTTAAACTATTGCTTCTGGCAAAAATACAAGTCCTCTATCCATAGTGTTTCTTTCTCCAGTGCAAAAGTTCTCTCATCTGAATCAGGAGAGAAAGCTGCACAGACCAAGCAACATTAACAAACCAAAACAGCTTTAAACAAATATGTTGGAGGATTTTAATGTGAGAGACAACAGATGGACTTTTTCACTAGAGGAAGCATTATTGTGGATTATGAACTCTGATTTGCCAGAAGCAACGGTTTGAAATTAAAAGCATCTTGATGGATTTGTTTCTTACAAACACGCAGCTTTTGGCTTCACGAGATGCTAACCGATGGACTGGAGTGGTGTGGATTACTTGTGGATTATTGTGATGTTTTTATCAGCTGTTTGGACTCTCATTCTGACGGCACCCATTCACTGCAGAGCATCCATTGCTGAGCAACTGATGGAATGCTTCATTTCTCCAAATCTGATGAAGAAACAAACTCATCTTCATCTTGGACGGCCTGAGCGTGAGTACATCTGTAGCAAATTTTAATTTTTTGGGTGAACTATTCCTTTAAGTCAGGGGTGCTCAACCCTGCTCCTGGCGATCGACTGTCCTGCAAAGTTTAGCTCCAACTCTAATCAAAGACACCTGCCTTTAATTTTTAAGTGATCCTGAAGACCCTAATTAGTTGCTTCAGGTGTGTTTGATTAGGGTTCGAGCTGAACTTTACAGGACAGTCGATCGCCAGGAGCAGGGTTGGGCACCCCTGCTTTAAGTGAATCTTTAAACTGTGTAATGAAAAACAGGTTGGTCATCAAGTTGCGCATATTAGCAGTTCCAGCATAAAAACAAGTGTTTCTCATTTCACCAGGAAGGAAAAGTACATGCTCATATGTGTGCAGTTATGTCAGAGCACATATTTGTACATCTTGAGATGTTCGAGTTCTCTCTCTGTCTGTAGAGTTGCAGTCGTGCAGTGGGGGGTAAATGAGGGCGTCCCGGCCCCCTGCAGCTGTCTGTACGTCTGACATTACCCGAGCATTGATCGCGAAACTTCTGCCAGCAGGTCATGGTCACAAGACTGTATTTACAGTATATCTCTCATCACGTAGCACCCATTGTCATTTCTTAACTTTAATATCTGCATTTACTCTACTAAGCGTCATTGACAGATGTAGTGTACTTTAAGGCCTGGTTGTTGTGCTTTTATGTTGCTGTGAACAGATTTTTTTTCATGTATGCATCTTTTTTCAGCACCGATAATAATCAGAAATGTTTCTTGAGCAGCAAATCAGCATATTAGAATGATTTCTGAAGATCATGTGACACTGAAGACTGGAGTAATGATGCTGAAAATTCAGCTTTGATCACAGAAATAAATTACATTTTACGATATATTCACACAGAAAATAGTAATTTTAAATTGTAATAATATTTCTTAATGTTACTGTTTTTATTTGAGTTTTGATTGAATAAATTCAGCCTCAGTGACTGTGAGTATAAGAGACTTTTAAACATTTTTTTTATACAAACATACATTTTAAAGAACGAGGTAAACTTGGAAGTGCAGTTTGGAGTAAACTTTAATCTGTAAAACAGCTTGGAACTTAAAGAGGAAGTGTAAGTAAGTTGTTGATCTTTCCAGATTGTACAGTAAGTCCCTAAAATCCAGTCTGACCATCTTCTGCTTACAGTACAAACCACAAACCGTCTGAATAAACAGTCGTTCAGTGTCATGGCCTCCTCTGAAGAGGGTATATGATAGCATTAACATAACTCTGATGAAGCATCCTGACAGCATTTGTTAACAAACTCAGTCGGTTTCAGTGCTCGTAATTATATAGTGCCGTAATAATAGGCCTAATGTTACATAAGACTCCTCCAGTCTGGATCAGCATGAGCCCAGAAACTGCCAGCAACACTGTTAACAGATGCTGGCTAATTAATGCTTTAAAAAAACATGCGTAATAGGAACAGCGATTCGGAGATTAGTGATCAAGAACTGCTTTATCTTACAGCTTCCTGTTGAAAGTGACAAGTTATGCTGACATCGAATCAGTGGGGCTCGTTTCCAAGAACTCGATTAATTAAAGATTATAGTCAAGCGCTTGCCTAAAGATCTCTTGTTGCATGTGTACATTGAGAAGAGAAATTAGGACATGAACTTCTGAGCAGTTATATCTCCGTCTCTGTTCTGTCATATTGTAGATTGATATCAGACAGGCAGATCCTAAATAAATGGTGCAAATGATCTGTTTTCAAGTGTATTTTGAGTTAGATTTATAATGTATTAATTAATAATCATTGAATTAAGATATAACATTTCTGTATAGGTTTTTACTATTTTACTTCATTGTTGTATGCCTGTATTTATGTAACACCGTGGTCCTGTGAGGCACGACATTTCGTTCCACTGTATGTCCCCACATGAAGCAGAATGACAATAAAGCTCAACTTGACTTGACTTGACTATTATTATTATTTTAAGAATGTTAAATATTTTAAATAAATGGTTATTTTTAAATACTTTTTATATCTGTCTATCTATCTGTCCGTCCGTCCGTCCATCTATTTTTCAGTGTTCAGCTCCCAGTCAGTATTGGTTTTGGCTATTTAAAAAACACACATCAGTAGGTTTAACTATTTGCTGCTTGAATTGATATTTGTCTGTTTTATTTGTGCTCTTTGGCCCGCTGCGCTGCTATTTTTAGGCATCGAGCTGTCAGCTCAAAGGGGAGCCTGT